CTTCCAGGCACATGAGCCGGAGTTCAGCCCCTCTCCTGTCAGTGGGGTGGCTTGTGCAGTGCTCCGTGAAGCAACTCTACCCAGGGACCGTAGGGCTCGGGACTCCCAAATTCATGCTGTTTTCTACTGTTACCATGTTGCCACCCACTTCGTGTTAGAAGAACAATTATGTTCTAATTCATGGGATCGCTAAAGCTTACTCCTGGGGTGTCTGTCCATACCATTTAGAAGCTCCTTGAGTAAATTCTGTAAAGCAGAGGGCCCTGTACCCCTCTGGCTCAGTGAAAGCCACAAGAGCACGGTGAGATGAGCAGTTCTTTAATTTGCTCCTGTCTGCAGTGGAGAGTCAACGCGTTTCCCAGAAGAGCCTTAGCCTCCTCTCCCAATATTTTAAGTTACCTCCAAGCCTCTTAGATCAAGAATAGGGCTACTATCTTCTACTGTTCATGTTCAGTTTTTCTGTCTGAAAGGGGTTGCTTACTGAGCCCCACATCATAATCGACCAAGACCATGATAGTCTTATTCTGACACCATTTAAAAGATGGTCCCAATGCCCCAGTGGTTCAAACAATTATTAGCATCATTACCATAAGTGTGTTCTTTCCAAGCTAACTGCGAGAATAATAGGAGGTAACTTAATCAAGGCCCTGACCTGTGCCTTTTTCCCCAACTTAGGCATCACAATAACACTGTGAAGAACTTATTTCTAACCCCACTAGACCAGTGAGGAAGTTGAGGGACAAAGGGCTTAAGCCACTTCCAAAGGTCATATAGTTAAATGACCACTAAAATTCAAATTCTGAAGCCTGGTCTTTTAAGCCTATGTTCTATTGCCTTTAAAATGTTTCCTTAAAAATTCTGGCATGCTTATAAAAATGATTCTTATATTTAGACTTCATATTTGTAACTGCATGGACAAAGTCCCAAAAGCTATTTGGGTAAAATTATTGTTTTGTAAGTATAATAGATTTGTTTTCATTGCAAAAATCATTGGAGGACTTATTAAAGTTGTCATTTTTCAGATAATGGAAATGCTCAAGGTCAAATATTTATTATTCAACTTGTAGCTGTTTTCTTTAGACATGCATCCATACAAAGCAGGATTATTTCTAGGCCTGCCTGCCTGCCTCAGGAGGCTAGTATTAATAGCCTACTCTCTTGGGTGTCCAGTGACATAGGATAAGTGCCCTTTGTAAAGACTGTAAGACGGAGGTTATGATTTCTAGGGACGAGGAAGGAAAGCCAAGCACATTTTTCTGGAAGCAAGAGAGCTCTGAAGGCAGTGTACTTGTCTACTCCAACCAGCAGCCCTCTTTCCAAGTCAAAGCCTGTCCGAGAACATTTCCTGGCCTGGAAAGGCAGGTGTGGCTCCAGATCTTGCTGGGCTTGTCTAGAACAGTCTAGAAGGCCCTCCAACAACCTGAACTAGAGAGCTCTGGGAGTGTCTCAGGCTGAGCCACATTCAGCCAGGTTAGCCACATTCAGCTAAAAAGACTGAAGGCTCCTTTACACACTGCCAGCCCACAACTTGAGAAAAAAATGCCACTCCCCCTTTTGACACAGTTCAGACTGGCCTTCCGTGACTACAGTCCTTCTCAAAGCCACTCAGAATCATTGTAAACCCACATCAACTGCATACATTATTTTTGAAGGGTAATAAGAAGTCCATAGTGTGATTTAGCCTAAGCTCAGCAGCTCCCCAGGGCTGGTCCTGGGCCGGGTGCCTGACCAGACCAGCCCTGCAAGACATTACATGATCAGGGACAAAATTAGACATGGGTGAGGGATGGACACTCTTACCAAAGGGCAGGTGTCAGGGTCCCAAGTGGGAAGAGGCGAGGTAATTAGGGAAGGATAGTGCCCACCCAGGGACTACTCCATTTCCCATCCCTAAGGGGTTCTTCGCCAATCAGAAGAGAGAATTCTTTAACAACAGCTCCCCACCCCCTGGCCAAGAGTCACTCCTGGCTTCCCAGAAAATGTTTCCAGGCAGATGGTGAGCAAAGCCAGGCAGGAAAATAACCACCCCAGGGAAGATGGGAGAACAGGAGCTCTGTGACCTGAACTCCGGTGCAGAATTCACCAGCTCTGTAAAGTTGGACCATTTCACTCCAAGCCAAGAACCTGTGGTGCTTCATGACATGCTGCCTTGCAGGCTGGCACACACAAAGGGATCCTCTGGTGTTTTGCCACTGATATGGTCCTGGCTCTATGGAGATCATCTCGAGGTTTAGAGGTGCACCCTGTGGCCATTAGCTGCAGGGTCTCTGGCCTCTGGCCTCTTCAAATGGAGGATATTTGCATCAAGTAGGGATCCTAAAATCAGAGACCCCCATGAGGCGCTGAGCCAATACCTACATCTTCAGATAAGCCACCAAACTGATCTGAAAGGACTGTGCTTATCTGAAACACATTCATTCATCCTTTATTTTATTGGTTATTAAAAATGTCAGGCTCACTTTAGAAAAATGTGTAATATAGGAATATATAAGGAAGGCAGTAGACCCACTGTTCACTGCTCCTAACCTTTTGGTTTCTGGGGTTTTCTCCCCCTATAAATGTATATGAGGGTTATTTATGAATATATACATTCTATACAGTTTTATTTCCTTAAGGTAAGATCCCAGAAATAAAATAAATAGGTAAAAGGGATGGACACATTTATGACTCTTGCCAATTTACAGCTTCATCAGAAAGCCCTACAGGAAACCGTTATACTCCTCTAGTAACCTGTGAAAATACTTGTAAACGTGTGTCATGTTTGATGAATGCTTTTATCAGGAATAAGAGGAGTCCTAACCCCGACCTCCACTGCCAGGAAGTTCCTCCTGATATCTGCACTAAATCCCTTCTGTCGACTTAACTTCAAACCTGTTCCTTCTTGTCTTGTTCTCAATGAAAGAAAAAACAGCTGCTTCCTCTTGTCCCCCTGACTGGCCTCCAGGAAGAAAAGCAGTTGTCAAATCTTTCCTCGCCCTTTCAGTGTCCTCTGAGACTGGCTAAATGGAGCCAGAGTTGTTTGCTCAAGGCCAAAGGTGACCCACAGAGCTTTTCTCCTGTTTGTGTACCGCAGCCCCTACGTCCTGGACGGAGGTCTCCGATGAAGGCCTGACCAGAGATGAGTATAGAGATTACCTCACTCGCCCACAAGCAACATGCTCCTATTTATACACTGAACAGTCAACACGGTACCACACTGGAGTGCTGATTCATGGCTTACTGATTCAGTTGTATTGGCCCTTTACTGTAAGTAAGCAAAACGAGAAGAGTTTATAATGTCCACTTTGTAATCTCGTTGGGTTCTTCGCCAAGAGAAAACTTTTCTTCTATAAATGGATCTCAGATTTATCATGTTCTTTTCAGGAATATGAGCATGGAGAAGAGAGGACATTGATTTTAATGATGTGTAAATCTAAAATGAGATGATTATGGCCAGTCTCTTGAAATCATCCTCTAGGAACCCGCCTTGGGCTTTTGATAGAATTTGCCTTTCTAACGATAACATAATGAAAATGGGGTACTTACCAGGCATTCACCATGTACTAGGCACTGTGGTAAGCATTTTGTTTATGCTTAATTTCCCACAGTAACTCTATAAAATGGGCACTATGTCTCATTTTTACAAAGGAGAATGAGGGATTGAATGTACATGAGAATGGATCTTAAAACCCAATGCTTAGTTTAAAAAAAGTAATAAGCAGAATGAGAAAGATAGAACAATACCATTTATAAAAGTAAAAGGCATGTATATAAAACGATAAAGATTTTATAAGAGTAGGTAAACAGAACACCAAACATATTAGAGTGGTTATTTACAGAGAAGAGAGTGGGAAATGGGGATGAAAGGAAATAAATAATGAGAGGAGCCTTGCCCACAGCAATAAGAACAATGCCTCAACATTGCACCTGAGGCCCAAGTGAAAAAAAACAAGTAACCCCAAAACTTAAAGCAGGGAGATGGCAATAAATGGCTCCAGGTTACAGATCCAGAGAGCTGCACACAGCCAGGTCTTGCTCCTGCCCTCTGGGCCACCCGGCTTCACTACTCTGTGAATCTTTAGTACTTGACAACATACTTGCCACATAGCAAAATCTCTGAGGCTTCAGAATTCTGCCTTCAGCAATTACGCACTTTATTTTGGATCTTGAGGAAGGGTGGATTTGAAGTATTTCTTTTTTTTTTTTTTTTAAGATTTTTTTTATTTATTTATTTGACAGAGAGAGATCACAAGCAGGCAGAGAGGCAGGCAGAGAGAGAGGAGGAAGCAGGCTCCCTGCTGAGCAGAGAGCCTGATGCGGGGCTCGATCCCAGGACCCTGAGACCACGACCTGAGCCGAAGGCAGCGGCTTAACCCACTGAGCCACCCAGGCGCCCCTTGAAGTATTTCTTATAGGTCAGACTTATGTGTGAGCTATGCAGCCAGCCATTCATGCATGTGTTTGAGTTTGTACTGAGTGTTTCTTATGTCCGAGGCACTGGGCCAGGCAGAGGGCAGGGATGGATGAGCCAGAACTCTGGTCTCAGTGAGCTCCCAGCTACCAAATCATTCTCTAACCACAGTCAGACACATCTGTCTCCTCCTGCTGTCCCCCCTGTGGTCCTGCTGTCAGAGCACAGATAGGTACCTTGAACCTGCATGGGATTTTCCAAAGCACTAACTAGTGTGTCTTAGGACCGTTTGGATTTCCACCAAAAAAACTGTCCATGGTGGACAACACTCTTTTGCATTATTGGGAATTGATTTTTCCTGTAGCTCATCTTTCCAAATGGGTTAACCAAGAAAGAGCAACAAATGTCACAATCATACTAGTAAATGTGGCAAAATCTGCCTTGTTGACTCATGTGGTAACTTGTCTTCATGAGCCAGGAGAGTGTTGGAGAGACCTATGAGGAAAGGGGTCATTCTGTATGGAAAGTTTGGGTGGCATGAGGCGGTCACAACCCCCCTCCCCCAGGAGTTCAGGATTTGTTTATATTTTGTTGGAGTTGCTTGACCTACCTCAATAGTTTTACAGGTGTCCTCCAGCTGACTGATCACTCCCTGGACTCGGTCATTGCTTCCCACGAGGACAGCGATGCCGTCACTGAGCTCAGACTAATGAAGGGAAGAGAGGCATGCAAGATTTTAAGAGTTTTCTAGTCAGTACTGATTGCAGATAAATCACAGTATTGTCTTCAGGGATTCCTAATGCAGGGTCCATTGAACCCCTTAGGAGTAACAGTGAGGCTCAGAAGGCTGGACAACCTCCTGGTCTTGTAACTAAACTTCTGTATATACATGTGTATATAAGTGCATTTGTCTGGAAAGAGGTTTCATAGTTGTCACCAGATTCTTCTTTCTTTTTTTTTTTTAAAGATTTTATTTATTTATTTGACAGATGGAGATCACAAGTAGGCAGAGAGAGAGGAGGAAGCAGATTCCCCGCTGAGCAGAGAGCCCGATGTGGGGCTTGATCCCAGGACTCTGGGATCATGACCTGAGCCGAAAGCAGAGCTTTAACCCACTGAGCCACCCAGGTGCCCCTGTCACCAGATTCTTAATGGAGACTGTGACCCTGCTAAAAAAAATGATAAACCCTGAATTATGGACAATAGATAGAACATACTATGCACCTTCTATGTGTTAGGTGCACAAATACATATAGACAAGACTCAGTCATTACAAACTTGAAGCTGAAACATTAGACGGTTCTAGGGCAAAATTTTCAACTTGAAATCCCTTTCCTCTTTTGACTCAAAGAGACGCCACTGTTTGTACTTAGCGCTTTCCTAGACCGGCTGTGGACCACCAGGCAGCACTGAGTGGGGACTTAGGACACATACCTGCTTTGTCCAACTCTGCCTTTAATTTCCTTACGATGTTGGGCAAAGTTGTAATCAATTTGGACCCTAATTTTCTCAGATATAAAGTGAGAAAATTGGACTTGAATAGTGGTTATAAAACATTTTAAAGCCTCAGAACACTTTCTTCAAAACGAAGCTAATATGGAATTCCAGTACGTAAAAGTGAAGCTGCTTTGCCCAAACAGGAGCAGGTGGAAGTCCTGCCAGCCTGTCCTTCTGTCCATCCCACGTGAGTTTCTAGGGCTCTGAGGGGAACAGTGGGAAACAAGAACCGTTGGTTCTAACATACCATGACTTGGGCAGGTTGGGCGGGTGTGGAAAGAAAAAGGGGAAATAGATCGTTAAGTGGATGGAAAAATAAATAAATATTACAGATATCTTGCTAAGTCCTGCTTCTTTAGCAGCTAGTACTCACTGGTTATGACTGGTATTGTCCGAAAGATTGGCTTTCAGGTTTTTGATTCCAACTCTGATCCTCACACGTAAAGCACTGACCAAATATGGGCTCTGTGATTCTTCACAGAAAGAAGCCGGCTATGGAGCCACTCAAGGTCTAGGTGTGGGAGCAGCTCATCTCTCTGAGCACATCACCGGCTGTTTATTTGCATTAACTGGGCACACTGCTACTTGCCAATGGATGAAACCAGGTTGGCAGGTCAGTGATAAGCTGGGGGACAAACTATTGTTGGTCACAGTGAGAGCGCCTGAGGCTAGGGCCCTGGGGTGGGGGTATGTGCCAAACGGTAGGGTAGTGGGGAGAGGAGGGCCTTTCAGCAACTGGCCTTGCGGCAAAGGCCAGGAGGCCAGCCTGACCCAGCCTTGAAGCCTAATACAGTAGGAGAGAGAGTAGGGAGAGAAGGCCTGGGAGGGGTGTGGCAAACAGAACATTTTGTTAGCAAATGAAGAAACGTTTCTGTGCCCGGAGTGAAAAGTTATCCTTTTCATATCTAGAGTCTGAACTTCAAATAGCTCAGACCAGGGGCCAGCACACTGCTTGTCTTCAGCAGCCTCCGAGGTGCCCAAAAAACAGCAACCCTTGCCCTCTGCGCACCTTTCTGACCCTTGGCACCCCTTCCTTCTCTAGCAGTCCCCTTCCTTTCCAGGGGATCTAGCCAGTGGCCACGTGCTCACCAGCACTGTGCCCCTTCCCGCTCCACCGTCCGCGCCTCTGGGCCTCAGGACTGTGTGACTTGGGCTGGTCCCCTTCAGCAAAGGGAGCCAATTCTGCAGGACCTGGGAAGGGGCTGCAAAGGAGGAGCTGGGTGCTGTGTTACCTTCTGCCTCTGGAACACGTGAGTTAGGGGTGCCACCTGGCAATCCTTGTGTGCCCCGAAGACCTTGCACAGAGAGCAGGTAGGCACCTCACAGTTCAGACAGTAGATGTTGATGCGTTCCTCCTCATGCTCCTCACACATGGGCTGGTCGGACTTCTTTTCTGGTCTGGGAGGAGGTAGGCAGATGCACGTGTTAGCTCCCATTGGGGCAAAACAGAGAGGGGTGATTAGCATTGCTATTCCAGAAAACTCCCGGGGTACCCTTCTTGTGTTCAGAGCCCTCCAAATTTAGTTGCCCTGTGGGCTTGGCAGTGGCATGCTGCTAGATTTCTAACAACCAGCCTGAGGGAAGGGATAGGACACGGATACTCTGACCTGTAGCATTTGACAATTTCTGTGGTGAGTGTTCCCATCATGGATGATTTCAAGTTATTGAAGGTTTAAAACACGTGAGTGGAATTCCTGAAAGTTGGACAGCGGGCTTTTGTGTTCGGAGTGTGCTCCAGCAACTGTCTCCACACACACTCAAAAGTCTCTTGAGATACTTTCCAATTATGGGTAAAGAAGGAGAAGTGGCTGAAACTCTAAGCCTCAAATTTATCCCCAGGCTTGCAGAGCCTCTAGATCCCAACTCTCTAGCCTCCGGCAAACACCCTTCCCACCACAAGGAGGAGGGGAGTGGGCTGGAGGAGTCCAAGTCTCTGATTACTAGTCTGGACACTGGTGAGAAGAAGCTCTGTGTAAGAAGGAAAATGTCAACAGGTGCTCCATTAATTTGTTTGGGTCTCTTTCTGCTGTTCAGAAAATGACACACAAATAACTGATTAAGATTAAGAGTGGCTAGTATGTGCTCAGTGAAGGTGAACAGTACTCGAAGCAATAAGAAAATGCAAAATGCTGTTCTGGGACATGGTGGTAACTTTAGACGTAAGGTTCTCACAGATAATCCCCAAGTTTCCGTTTTCCCAACAGTTCAGCACCCGCCAAGACTTTTCAGAACTGCAACAGGTAATAATGGAGCATTGGATTTGTATGTGTTAGTGAGATGATGACCAAGCAATGAAGAATGAAAGCATGGAACGGGAGAGACAAGTCATTGCTATTTAAGAACAACCTGTTAGCTGTAGAATCACCTGGAACGGCCCAAGTTCACAGCACATGGTAGGGCCCTGTATGTTCCCCTAACGATCAGCGTGGCTTATGTATTATGATCAAGATCAAAATTATGCCAAGCCATGGTGTTCTAGGCCCTCTCTGGAGAGCATGGTGAGAGATGTGGGTGTAGCCTACTTCTGCAAAAACCTGGAATTCTTACATATCCTATCTAACGACCAAGGTTGTTAATAGTTTTCAGAGGTGCCTGAAAAATGTAAATACAAATCCATAGCCTTTCCTCACATTCCCAAACACATAGTTATTTAAAAGCATGGTTATTTAAAAGATTTGAGACTGAGTTTTTCTATTGTTATCAAGATCCACTTTTTAAAAACTGCAGGTTTTCATGGGCCATGAAATTGATTATTATGGGCCTTGAAATCAATTTCAGGGTCATCACCAACATCGTTAAAATCACAGTAAAATAGAACAGTAAATACTGTGAACTACACGTAGTAAGAATAAGGTAATGGTATGTGAAACTTTTGTTTCTGTTGTACATAGATGTGTATGTATGTACGTATTTGTGTGTATGTGTACACGTATCTAAGTACACTGGAAACAAAAGTATATATTTCATATCTATCTCTCCATCTATGTATGTAATGGTCACTGTATCACAATGTAAAATGTACTTCTACTGTGAGACATGAATAAAATGGTTGGAAAACCATTGCTGTTGATGGGGTACCATGTAGCTGCAGCCCCAGAAACTCAGGGAAAGGTGGAGAATATACTGATTTACATCTATAAATCACTAGGTGGTCAAGTCATGATATTAGGCTGTAGGGAGAAGCCCTGGGTCTGGTAAGGAAATTTATATGGGCTTTTAGCTTCAAGACTTCAGAATCTGGTTTTGTAAAAGGAATTTCTGCCTGGTCTTGCAGCCATATGTTTTCCATAAAGTCGGTGGCCTCCTGACTTGAATTTCTGCTATATTCTTGGAAGTCAACTGAGAAAAGTAAACTCTGCTCAGGTCTGTTTGCTCCACCAAAATGTGAGCTCCACGAGGACAGGCCTGTCTTTTTTTGCAGAAACCCCAGCGCCCAGAGCAATGCCTTGCACAGAATGGGTACTCAGTAAATATTTGTTGAATGAATGACAAATGAGAGAATTTTCCAGATTAATGGACAGTATTCCTTGTGCTCAAACATAAAGACCACTCATCTGGGGAAGGCATGTGAAATATGGGGAAAGCCCAGGGTCACTTGGCACTCGTGAGCCTCAAAGGAAGAGGCCAGACAACATTCTGAAGACTCCATTTATAAGTGACAAAGCCCTTTGGGGGTTATCTAGAGACTAGGAGTGGTGGTTTGCTCTTTGCCTGCTCAAAAGCTTCTCCACCTCCAATACCTTCCCTACCATGCATCTCTGTCTTGTAATAATAAATGTCAAGCAAATGCCTGGAGCACATTCACTGGAAAATAGCACAGGTGATGCTTTTGTGGCTCATCTCCCTGCAGCACTTCCTGATGGCAGCCTGTGTCCCATGTGCTATTCTGATGTCAACAGCTCTGACCAGAGCTCAGGTACGTGAGTGTATATATACACAATACATATAGATATACTATATATATATATATGTATATATATATATATATATATATATATGTATATATATATATATATATATATATATATAAATAAACACACAGTATACGTAAACACTAAAAATGTGGCAATAGCCATAAGGCTGTATGTTTAGTTTTGATTGTGATTATTTTTCCATAATGTGATACAGGTTGAGAACTACTTCCCATATTTCTTATCAGGTTTTTCTTCCTTAGGTGGCAGCACGGGCCCGGAGGCATCCCCCGCTTATAAGTGGGTATATAATAGAAATCTTTAGACAATTTAACACATATCTCAGACTTGGGTCAAACAGGGTATAAATATGATGTAAATATAATGCAAATGCCTCTTCATGAGGTGAGAGTGTCTGAGCTCACAGTAGTGGCTCAGGCCTCCGCTCCAGATGTGGACAGAGGCCCCTGGCCATTTGGTGGGGACCTGCTGCAAGGAGTCTGGAGCCTGCTGCCTCTGGCCTCAGGAGGTGGGGACCAACACGGAGTTTCCTGAAGGGTGGGCACCTGGTCTCGGCGATATATGGCAGGCAGTGCCTTTTGAGTGGAACTGCTCTCCAAGTTCAAGTCCAGCTGAGCTTCTCCGCGTGGCAGGTGTGTGGCTTCGGGCACGTTACTTAACCTCTTTTTAGGTTCCACTTTGATTCATATCTGAAAATTGGCCCGAGGGTCTTCTAATTAAATACAGCAGAATGAACCTATGCCTTTTTAATCTGTATTTTCTGTGGAAATCCCGCTAAAATGAGAGCGAGGAAATCTTAAGAATCACATCCTAGTATAAATCGATAAGGACAAAAAATGAGCAGGATGACAGCAGATGAGAGATGTTGACCAAATGTTAGAAACTGAGAACATCTGGATGAAGGGAAGTGAGCTGCTCGAGTTGCATCTTATTTCTGCGAAGCGCCTGCAGGGGAGAAGCCTGCAAGGAGCAAGCTGACCCCAGCCGTGGAACCCGAGGAAGGCTCTGGAACTGCGGAAGCCAAGTACTCAGAAGGCACAGTGTGTAGGAGATTGCAAAGCAGTGCGCTTTCTGCATATTTGGGGAGATACTTGAGAATGTGGTCCACAAAAACAACAGAATAAACCAGCGAAGAGAAGAACAGGTCCTAGGAAACAAAGCTTCAGCCCAGGAAGAGTGCAAGTAGGCAAAGCCCAGCCATGTGAGGACACTGTCCTGATCGTCCGCAGTGAAATGTCGGTAGAGAATGTCAAATTGAAATGGGCATATAGTCGTAGTGTACAGATGTCACTGGGCGATAACAGAAAAATAGCTAAAACAATGAAAAGTGTCTGGCTCTGGAGAGTGAGACTTGGGGGTAGAGAGTGGGATGAGAGTGGAGGCCTCCTTAGCGGTCTCATACTATTTGAATGTCTAAATTATATACGACTTGGCTTCAGTGAAATATTCAGAAATTCTAACAAGGTAATAATAATCACAATCTCACAGGATTGTTATGAGAATTAGAGAATTATACACGATTCATATGCAAAGGACCCTGAACAGCGGTTGACATGTACTCAGCACATATTAGTTTTACTTATCATAAAGTTATTTATTGTAACTTTCATGATTAACATTAGCAAAATAAATTCCTCTTCTTGTCACCTCCCCAAACTGTAGCTAGTTCAGCACCATGCAGAAGTCTAGGTAAGAAGGCCAGGTGTTGTCAAGATCTACAATCTCTAGTCCTCCTCTCCTTTCTGTCCCCACCCCAATGACAGTGAGCCAGAAATGGTTTCCTCTCACTCTGTTATCCAAGGTTGTTCTCAGATTGCCTAATGGACTCTGAGGCTCAGGCTCCTGGGCTGGCAAGGCTGCCTGTCTCCAGGGAACACCTGGGTTTATGCCCAAACAGAAACACCTGGGCCCTCTTTGCAACTTGTGGTTTCGCCACCAAGTAAAAGTGTCCCAAAGGCAGGTCTCAAGTTCAAGAAATAACAGCACAAGAACTTGACAATCAGAAAAACACCACTAGGGCATGCCGTTATGAGCTTTATGGTTGGAAATTTGGTTCGTTACTTTCATACAGTTTGCTCACCTGGGCACTTTTTTTGGCAAATGCGCATGTAGACTTTATGGTTAAAGTAAGGATGTATCTTTTGGGTTTGCTAACGCTGCAAGTTTTACTATCTCTTCTCTGCATTTCATAACACTATTGCTATTATTTCCCATATCTCAAGCTCTCACTGTAGCAAGTAGCAAAATGAAATTACTGCAATAAATAGGACATGTAAGAAGCTTTGTGGTGTTGCTTTGTCAATGGGCCCTTAGAAAGTAGCCATTCCATGCAAGACACTGTACTAGGCACTGAATCTGTGTTATATAAACACCCTTAATAATTGTCTGGGTTATTAATTGACTGATTTTTTTTTAAGAGACAGTGTGTGTACTTGCATTTTAAAGTAACGAAATATAATCTGATCAGATCTGTGAAGCAACAGCAGCAACAATAGCACTTTCTTTCTTCTCCAGAGACTGTGGAAGCAAGGGAATAGCTAACTCCATGTCTCTGCAATATGTCATCGGCAATTACTCTTCTTCCCCAATTCAATCTAGATCCTGGCACTATCTAATTTAGTTTGAATCTTAAGCAGAAACTAATAGCCATAATGATTATAATAATTATATGTTAGATTTATAGAACAGCTTTCCTTTTAAGAGTGCAAGGCTCTTAGGGTGCTGCAGATGTTCCATAAATACATGTCTCCTAATAAGAATCACAATAAGTTCATTTCCAGATGGTCTCAATATTGCTATCGAGCTTTGTGGACCGGACTGACCTGTGTACAATTGAAAAGGGCTCTTCACACCATGCCTTCTAGGAATGAACTCCTGCAGTGTTGTCTCTAGGAAAGGAAGGCTATAGCCAATGTGATTCAATGAGGAAGAAGCCTTTTTTTTTTTTAAATGAATGGATGCATATGCTGAATATCAATCCATCAGCAGGCGAATGCTAACAGTAGGAGGCAAATAGTATCTAGAGACTAGGGAAACAGCCTGAATGTCACCCCCCTCCATGTCTCTGAACTTTAACTTGCTAAAGGACAGGACTGTGCATTGCTTTGCAACTTCCCAGAGTCTATACCATGACTAAGTATGTTAGAGAATTTTGTTTTTATTATGATCATCTAGACAATTTTCAGGTGAGACTGTCTAAACTAGGAACTGGCTTATTTTGGAAAATCCCATTTCTATTAGTTTTCCTTAAACTTTTGTACTATAAGCTTTCTGCTATGTAGAATCTGGAGCTACAAAGGACCTGTGAAGAGCATGGATGTCTAAAACATATGTAATACAAGGCTTAGAAGGATGGGCTGAGTTATGCCTCTTTCAGTATTATTGAATGGATTAGTGTTAATGAATTACTTCATTCTTAAGTTGATACAAAGCCTTGGGCACCAGCTCCCTTCTTCCACGAGCAATTCTCCCTTGGATAAACATTTTCAGAGAAAACAATGTCTGTGATGAGCAAACAAGCCTTTGGTGTACTGATCTGTTAGAACAAACAAACAAACAGACAGACAGACAAAAAAAGAGCTTCAGATGGGTTTGACACAGGGAGGAACCGTACCTGGTGGACTCTTGCTTGTAGATGTCAATGATATTTTCCACCAGCAGGTTCCTCTGAAGGCCATATATCCCATGTCTGTCCAGAACCACTTCATGTCTACAGGATGGGCAGCGAAATCGACCCCCTGATGCCACGGTGGTACCTCCTCTTGTGGGCAAATATGGGTTAGAGGCCTGTTCTTGCCAAGCAAGAAAAGAGGAATTGAGTAATGCCACAGGTAGCTTTTCTGAGACTTCTTTTCACTCTGTTACTACAAACAACATCAACTTCTACTTTAAGCTGGACATAAGATAATCCCTTAGAGCCTTCTAGCAAATAGTCCTAAAATACAGGACCAGCACTTATTCACTATCAATGGCCATGTACCGTGTTCAGCATGAGACACTTTTCTATCCAATGTTTTCATAATCTAAAGTTCCACCAGAAACTTCAACATTAATGTCTTGGGCAGTAATTCATTTACAATTTTGAAGCAGATTCAATGTTTTGAGGTCTTTCTTTTCTTTTCTTTCTTTTTTTTTTTTTTAACAAATATGATTCTTAGTATTTAAGTAAAACTAGATTCAGGAGTAAGGAGGAGGCAGAGAGCAAAGCAGAAAGCAAATCATTAAAAAAATTCATTTCTTAAAATGAATGTAGCCTTAAAAAGTTTTCTAAAAGAATTCACCTTTTAGGTGAGCACTTGATTCTGAGAAAAGAGACTCCTTTTTTACCCCCTAAATTCCAAACAAACCTACCTGGAAAATATCACTGGCACATTTCCTACACAGGTTATGCTGACAGGGGAGAATAACCACGGGCTTCGTGAACATTTCTAAACAGATCGGACAGATGAGTTGTTTCTCCAAGTTATCCATGGTCTGCTGCTCTTTGGAAAAAGACTTGTAATTCAAAGATGCGCTCATCTCCTGGCCGTCCCCCTGTGCACTGCCAGGGAAAGCGTGCTCCAAATGGTTTCTGCAAGTGTTTGCTGGAAATAATTCCAAGGATTGGGTTGATCAAGTGCCCTTTATGGTTTTTTCGGTGGAAGACATTGTTTCAGGCCCAGGTTCAGAGGAGGTGCCCGAGCTGTTTTTAGCAGCAGGGGTCACGTGACAGTGGGCTGACTTGTCCATATAAGCCAGTGACAGGAGGATGGATTCTGACAGGTGACAGAGAACAGGAGCCAACATTCCTGTCCCAAGGAGTGAAGAGAGGGGGTGGAAAGAAGGATTACAAACCCCATTTAGTCAGGGTTGTGAGGAGAGAGAGGTTGAAGCTGACAGTTGTCAACAACAAATGCAAATGTGCATGCCTCGTCACTGAGCCATGCCCTCTGTGAGCACTCAGTAAGAGCGTGCTGATGGCTCGCTGCAGGACTGAAGAGAATGCAGCCCGAGAGTCTAACTGTATAACGGATGCCATTTCTGCCTTGGGAGTTTAGGAGGCGAGTCACCAAGAGTGACATGATCATAATGTCTTAAATGAAAACAAACAAAACAGGTCTTGAAAATCATGCCCTGGGCTTATAAGGGCAATTGCCTAAAAAGACTTGCTTAATGTTTTCATCTTTGCAAGAGTTGTGGTCTGGGAAAAATTCTGATTTAAAAACTGTTTTCAATCCTTTTCACCGTAAAAGTATCTATGAAAAAAAATTCAAACACCATTGGATGAGCCTATTTTTAAAAAAACTTGTTAATAAAATTCTAGTAAGTTCTTTCTTCCACATTGTTTTCCCTCCTCCCTAACCCCACTTCCATCCTGTATGCCTACAACTCCCTCCTCACACACACCAAAAACACAAAGAAAATTTGGTAATCTTTTATTTTTTTACTTTTTATTTTTTGTACGTATTATATACTGTATTCTTATTTTTATTTTTATTAACATATAGTGTATTATTTGTTTCAGGGGTACAGGTCTGTGAATAATCAGTCTTACACAATTCACAGCGCTCACCATGGCACATACCCTCCCCAGTGTCCATAACCCAGCCACCCTCCCCTCCAGCAACCCTGTTTGTTTCCTGAGATTAAGATCACTTATGGTTTATCTCCCTCTCTAGTTCCATCTTGTTTTATTTTTCCCTCCCTTCCACTATGATCCTCGTCTTGTTTCTCTAATTCCTCGTATCAGTGAGATCATATGATAATTGTCCTTCTCTGGTTGTCAAAGTCCACAGATTTAAATGTTAATCTCATCCAAACCTTCCTCACAGAAACATCCAGAATAATATTTGACCATATATCTGGGCACTATGGCCCAGTTAAGTTGACACATAAAATGAACCATGACAATATCCTTCAACATTTTGATTTTGGAAGGCTTAGTGGATATCAGGTAGGGCCTAGAGGGAAAAAAAATTTTAATTTGCAGCAATAATAATGAGGTAGTAACTGGCATCTGGGGTAGCAGACCCATTATTTAATTTTTCCATAAAGCAGGGAACAGATATCAGTGCTGTTGCCAACTAAAGTGAAAATGGAGTCCTGCTTTTATACCTGGGTTTTCTCTGGTCTGAAATTCCTACTATACTTCTTTACATTTGCCTCCTCCTCCAACATGATTTTTTAAATGATAATCTCCCTCGTCTGATATACTTGGTCTGCTCTTGAGTCACAAATAGTGATCCTGATGTTTGCCAGAAATTTGTGAAAGAACTGTTTCATCAACATATACTTATTTAAAAATTAAATATCAGATCAAAAATGAAAAAGAGATACATATCTGTTTATCTGTGATGAATCTGTATGTTAATTTCTCCTTGATTTAAAAATATTCAAACAGGGAACACATTTTGTCAATATATCACCAGCATGCACTTAATCACAAGTAAAGAGTAGGCCGGTGTGACTGGTTATTTATGGTCTTATTGCTGTGTGTGCTGAAAGCTTATCAAGAATCTAAGAAGCTCTATTAGCTAATAATAAGTTACATGTATTCATAAACATTTCAGGCATCTTAGGAGAATTTTGTGATTCCTTTCAATATCTATTTAGCAACTCCAGTAAAGAAGGGAAACAGTGACTTTTCTTACTGCATTAATTCAGTTCACCTAGCCTAAGCAATTAACTGTATTTATCATTACATGGGCTATGGAGGTCTGAATGCAATACATGAGTTATTTTCTAGGGAAGATAGTTTCTACAGTAAAAGACTCTTCAATCTAAGGAAAAACACTTAAACTAATAATGTACAATATAGCCAAGACTATCCTTATTAAAGGAATTCATTCTTTCAAAAAATATTCATGTGTTCCCATTGTGCTCAGCTCCATGGATGGAAAGACAAGACACAGGTTATTGTCCTCATGGAGTTCAGTCTAAGAATGGAAATAAGACATTCATACACAGAAACATAGTACCAAACAAAGTGTGATAAATTTCACAATTTCAGAACTGGATTCATTAGGAGGGCTTTGTGGGTGGGTTGATCCAATGAGAACTTAGGTGAATAGATGTATAGTCAGGTGGGGCATAGTTGGGGCTTCCCAAGGGAAGGCACAGAAGCAAAGCCAGTAAGGCACAGGAGTGCACAGAATGCTTAGTGTGTGTGATGTTTTGGGCCAGAGTGCAGAGCATGCTGCTGGCACATTGGCAGGCCACAAATCCTGGGCTGGAGAGTTTTTAACACTTAATAAATTAGGGAACAGGAAGTTATTGGAAGTTTCTCACAGAAACATTTCCATGAGAGCTTTTCATTGGTTAGATTAGTCTCATAGTGGTGGTTGGGATAGATCAGGGTGAATATGACCTTGATAAAGACCATACGGGAAGCTGTTGCCAATAGCCTAGGTGAGAGGTCATGCTGCCCTGGCACTGGGTGATGGCAGTGGGGAAGGAAAGGAGGAAAGGGACTCTGAAGCTATGAAATTAGGATCCACAGGGGTGACTCAGATGTTTTTAGTCTGAGCAAACACCAATGATGCAGTGAGAGGTGCACAGTGAGTCAGGAGACAGTCCTTATAATCCAACTTCCTTTTCTACCTCACTTTGTGGTCTTGGGAAACTGACCTCAACCTAGCTGAATTTCATTTCCTTTATCTGTAAGTGAGTGGTGTTCAGAACCTAGCTTAATTGTATTTTTGGGGGGAAAAAACCCCTTTGAAACGATGTTAATTTTGACATTGAGAATCTCCAATTCAATTATTCGATATAAAGTTGATCTCTAGCCTCGTCTCTGTTTTTGTTTCTTGCCTTGTGCTTTTTCTTAGAACTGCGTCCAGCAAACTAGCAAGAATCTCACAGGCTTAAGAGTCAAGTTGATAGGTAATTATTACTATCCCCTCTTTATCCCCTTTTCTCCTTTCTTTGCTCCTCCTCACTCTTAAGAAACCAGCAGTCCATGAGGTGGGCATATGAATTGAGAGTGGGACAAGGGAGTAGCACTCTGCTCTAGGGAAGAACCAGAAAATTTTAGTCTATTCCCAAATCCTTCACAGAGTCTGAAAGATAGGGAAAATTCTGAAACTGAATCAGATTTGAATTCAACTTCAAGAATCTGCGATTTGGAGCGGATCTGTGCCTCCACAGTGTCCTGAAAACCAGCTTAGTCTCCTGAAGGTGTCCTGGCCTATATATGAGTGATGCACAACTTTCTCCCCTTCCCAAACCCCTACCCACACAACTAGGAGAGGGGGTTGAAACCAACTGGGGGCAATTGTGCAGGGAGTTGGTTTGGTTGGAAGCCGCAGTTGCCCCTCATTTCCAAATCCTACCAAACTAGGGCAGGGTTATATTTATACAATTGAGAAACTGAAGTAAAACCACCAATGCTCTCACCTCTAGAAGACCAGCAGTTTCCCAACCGCCAAGGTAAGTCAGAGGAAGCAAGATGGGTCCCTACGAACCTGACTATGTTACTATCAGCAAACTTGGCATTAAGGCGTGATAGCAGAAAGAGATTTTTTACCTTTTTCAGCCTCTAGCTACAAGGCCAAATGGATGCAGACCTTAGGAGACAGAGCAGAGGAGTGAAATGTTGGTTTCTGTGTGTTCATCTTGGGAAGGAAGAAAAAAGGGTTCTAAAATCTGTTACTTTTAGTACTATGATTGATCCTTGAACAATAACTTATATGCGGATATTTTTACAGTATTGTAAGTGTACTTTCTCTTCTTTATAATTTTCTTGATAACATTTTCTTTTCTCTCACTTACTTTATCTTAAGAATATAGTATATAATACAACTCTTAATCTCACAAAACAAATTGAGGGTTGCTGAGGGGAGGGGCATTGGGAGAGGGGGTGGGGTTATGGACATTGGGGAGGGTATGTGCTATGGTGAGTGCTGTGAAGTGTGTAAACCTGGTGATTCACAGACCTGTACCCCTGGGGATAAAAATACATTATATGTTTATAATAAATAAAAAAAATAAATTAAAAAAAACATAGATTATCTTTAAAAAAAAATATAGTATATAATACATATAACATACAAAATATATGTTAGTTGACTATGTTAACAGTAAGACTTCTGGTCAACAGTAGGATATTAGTAGTTAAATTTGGGGAGAGTCAAAAATTATATGCAGATTTTCTACTGCATGGGGGTTCATGTACCTCCATGTTGTTCAAAGGTCAACTGTATACTGCCAAAACAAACATAATAAATATGTACAGACTACTAATCATTGCTTATAATAGCTCTCTATAATAGGTATTATAATTTCCATTGAAACAACTGTAGCTCATAGAAGCAGCTGCCTAGTCGTATTGCTGCTAGTTGTGAAGCAGATTCAGAGACACATCTTTTGACTACAGAGCCCATGATCTCACCCACTAAGCTATACCACACCCACACTCTACAGCATACCCTCCATTAGAATTTTCTGCAATGATGTAAATGTTCTCTATCTGTACTATGTAACTTCTAGCCACAGGTGGCTATTGAGTACTTAAAATGTGTATAATGCAACTTGGGATCTGAGTTTTAAGTTTTATGTAATTTAAGCTCAGGTTTAAACAATCATATGTGGCTAGTGGTTGCCATACTGGACAACCAGCTCTAGAATATGTCATATTAAAAAATCTTGGGAGAAAATTGGAGTGTATTTAAAGGATTCTCCAGCAGGAACAGGGTCCTCTCCTTTTAGTGGATTTTAT